AGAGTCGGAAATTTACATGACTTTGTAGAAAATGAATATCTTTTTAATCTTAATCTCATGCCAGAAGATTATTCAGAAGATTTAGTTTTACCTAGGATATTTCAAGATCAAATTATAAACGAAAACGGGCGATTTTTAATAGATTTTTGTAAAATGACTGGATTGAGAATAATGAACGGAAGGGTTGGTAAGGACAAACACATAGGGAAATATACATGTATTAAGGAATCTGGCAGTAGTACAGTAGATTATGTTCTTTGTTTTCCAAGATTAATACCATTTTTTAATTCATTCGAAGTTGAGGAGCCGAACATTATGTCCGATCACTGTATGATAAATTTTTCAATCAAACGTGCTGCCCTAAACGAAGAAAGCAATTACACAAACTTAGATGATCAAAAATGTGAATATGCAGATAACTCATACAAATGGAATAATGACAAGAAATTTGAATTTTTAGAATCTTTGAACGCTTTGGCACCATTAAAACTTGATGCATTAATCGAAAATTTGGAATTAGTATCGGAAAATCAAGATATAGATCAAAATTTACAAGAATTTAATGAGTTTTTGTCCAGTGTATGTGACCCAATCTTCAGAAAAAGAGCAAATAACCCGAAAAAAACGAAACAAAGAAATAATTGGTACGACAATGACTGTAAGGGGAAACAAAAAGAATTTTATAGAAACTTGAATATTTATAGAGCAGATAAAACTACAGAAAATAGAATAAATATGGTAAAATCTAGAACGGATTATAAAACATTAATTAGAAATAAAAAGCTTAATCACGATATTCAGGAAACCGAAAAATTAGAAAAATTCCGTTATAAAAATGCAAAAGAATATTGGAAGCTATTAAAGAATACAGGTATAAGGGCAGAAAAACATAGTATATCCTGTACACATTTCGCCGAATACTTTAAAGCGATAAATAACCCAGATTCAATTTTTTTTCAACCGGACGATGACGCAATTTATTTTAACGAACGATATGTCAATGGGGAATTTCAGTGTATGTTTGATGAACTTGATTTAGAAATCACGGAAAATGAAATATTACGCGCATGCTCAGAACTTAAGAATGATCGTTCCGGAGGACCCGACTATTTTATAAATGAATTTTACAAATACGGAATTAACTCGCTACTACCATATATACTCAAGCTTTTCAACAAATTACTATCGCAAGGTTATTTTCCCCAAATGTGGTCTGAAGGTTTCATAATACCTATCTATAAAAAAGGAGCTAATAATTTACCGGAAAATTACAGGGGAGTGACATTACTAAGTACCCTAGGTAAACTTTTTTCAAAAATACTTAATACACGTCTTAATAATTGGGCAGAGAACTATCACGTTTACATTGACGCGCAAGCAGGATTTAGGTCAAAGATGGGAACTGTAGATAATATTTTCGTATTACAAAGTATAATTAATCATATAATTTCTGAAAATAAACGTCTTTTTGTTTGCTTCGTTGACTTTACAAAAGCATTTGATTTTATTGTTAGGGATAATCTATGGTTAAAGCTAATAAAATTAGGAGTCAGGGGAAAAGTAATGAAAGTTTTGAAATCTATGTATACAAACGTCAAATCCAGAATTAAATTATCAAATACATTGAGCGAAACTTTCATGTGTTCATTAGGGGTCCGTCAAGGGGACAGCTTGTCCCCTTTTCTCTTTTCTATGTACATAAATGACTTAGAAGATACTTTTATATTAAAAGGTTTTAAAGGCATAGACTTAGGTACTCTAAAATTGTTCTTATTATTATATGCGGACGACATTGCTATTATATCGGAAACAAAAGAAGATCTTCAAAATGGATTAAATATTTTAAAAGATTATTGCGACGAATGGAAACTAAAACTAAACGTAAATAAAACAAAAATAATGGTTTTTAAAAAGGGAGGGAGAAATCAGCAGAATTTAAGATTTTTATATGGAAATACAGAAATTGAAATAGTAAATAAATTCACATATTTAGGAATCGTTTTTACAGTTGGTGGGTCATTTTCCAAAACTTTCGAAGCACTTTCAGGACAAGCATTAAAGGCAATATTTAAACTTAACTCTTATATGCAAAACTTTCCTAATATCTCAGTTTCACATACACTCGACCTTTTTGACAAGTTAATAACACCTATTTTAAGCTATGGATGCGAGGTATGGGGTTTTATGGAAGCAAAAAAGATAGAAAATATACATTTGAAATTTTGCAAAAAATTATTAGGAGTAAGGCCACAAACTCAAAATAACTTCGTTTATGGAGAATTAGGCAGAGAACAATTAATACAGCTTAGAATGATACGAATTTTAAAATTTTGGTTTAAAATTTTGAAATCGGAACAACATTTGTACATTAAAAAAGTTTACAATATGATGATCTTTAATATAGAACAAAAACCAAATTATAAATGTTGGGCAAATTCAATTAAACAATTACTTCAGAGACTAGGGTTTTATCATGTTTGGGTTAATCAGGGAGTGGGAAATGAAATTTTATTTTTGAACTTGGTAAAACAGAGACTTAAAGATAACTACATGCAAAACTGGACTGAATCTCTACGCAATTCATCAAGAGCTTCCCTTTACATTCTTTTTTCAAACTTTGATTTTAAATTGTATCTTGAACAAATTAACATTCAGAAATTTAGAATAGCATTAACAAGATTTAGAGTTTCAGCACATAGGTTATAAATTGAAACAGGGAGATGGCATAAACCAAACAAAATTCCAAGAAATGAAAGAAAATGTATAATATGTAACAAACTCGAGGATGAATACCATTTTTTATTAGAATGTACTTTATATTGTGAAATAAGAACGAAGTATTTACCAAAGTACTACTGGAAAAGACCAAACATACCTAAATTTATCGAATTAATGTCAAATGAATCGACTACTATAATAAGAAAACTGTCCACTTTTATTTATAAAGCTTTTGAAATCCGTACACCGATTTACTTTTCTTAAAAATATTTTCATTCACACTTTTCTCCTACAACGTCTTTTTTACAAGTATATATTAATAATCTGTTTTATTTAATCATTCAATACTTAAAAATATACATTTTATATGTAAGTGTAATACACATGTGTATTTGATTATTAGTTCATGGTATATTATGCAATATTAAGTTTCTTCTAGTAAAACATACATATTTATATGTGATTGTAATGTATTAAATCACAAGTTCAGGTTCTATTGTGAATTATTAAGTTTCTTCCGGTTAGAACATAATGCAATTTATTTTATTTACTTTTTTATTTCTTAGTGTTTAAAAGCTTTATGTATGCAACACAATTAATCCTATTAAGAATTGTTACATAAAATGTGTAATTACATGTCTTTTAGAGACTATTATATGTCATTGTTATATGTCACCATTGACCTATATTTATTATTAAATGATTGATTGTATACCATGACACTCATGGGTTTGTAACCTTTTGTGAATAAAGATTATTATTATTATATACACATTTTGATTCACTCTACTTTTAATATTAAATAATAATTATAATTATTAACTACAGACACAAGGAATTCCATTTGATCATTTATGGAAACTTTCAAAAAAGTACACGTTTTTGTAATTAAAAAGTGTTCTTTGTATTGGACAATTCATTGTAAAATAAGGTTTTAATCAATTGACAATTATAGGAAGCATTACCAAGAAGGTGCAAATCAGATGTACACGAACAATTTTCGAAACTAAGATTATTTTTTATTTGTATACTCCTCGTACATACTAAATTTCTGCACAAGACTGGAAATGATTAAGTAATCAGATGATGTTGACGCAAATGTTTTGGTGTTAGTCACCATATGCAAATTAGCTGAGGGGTCAACAGGGTGGCACACTGTTTATTCAGTATTGCATAGCTGTAAATACAAACCGATCAAGGATGACTTAATTTGTTGCACTGTTGCATGGCCATAATTAAGATAATAAGTGTTTTATAAGCTGGTAAGAACTACTGTTCGTTGTTTTTAGATTTCTATAAGTAAGGTAACCACATTTTAGTTTTGGCTCTCGATCAAAATGTCTTGTCAGTTTAAATCTTGTATACGTATTTACCAAATATTATAAAATTAACAAAATTTACATTCTTACATTATTTTCTTATTTGTTAAATAAATATATGACATTTTTAATCACCTGAAATGTAGAAGTTGATGTAAATTGTCTCTATTAATATCCATAACATTTTTGTCTTAAATAAATCATTTGAAAGAAATTCTAACTTCAAAATAGCTTAATGCTGCTTATAAAATGTTTAAAGCAAGATGAATTATATTTACCCTTAACCTTATATAAGCGTGTTTTGACGGCTTTTCAATCCCCTTTTGAGGCCTTGAATGGAAAAACACCCTGTTTAGGCCCAAACCCTGTTTTTCGTTTGAGAAATGTTCTGAGCAATGATATCACTTTTCGGTGCCGCCCCTATAGAAAAGGTACAACAAGGGTTGCCAGAGGGGGAGGGGCGGTGTGCCCCTTTCTGTTTGAGGGTTAAAGGCTATTGTTCAGTCAACATTTGTGCCAAGTTTGGTCAGTAAGTAAGGCTGTAGAGAGAGGAGGCCACCATAAAATAGTTTTGGAATAGTATCTGCTCGGGTCTGTTTTTGTTTGTTTTTAGTCAACCAAGTATTATATATTTTCATTCATATTTCATTAACATCCTATCAATAAACCAGTGACAACTCAGATGAAAACTTCAGACGAACATTTCTGTTGTTAAAATGTCACAATATTCGGCAACTCAACATTCCTTTCAAACTATCATAAAACCGATTGCCTTCAAACAAAATAAAATAAACAACAGCACCAATTCGGGAAATCGGGGTCAATTTTGCTATAGAGACTTCAACAGCGAAACAAGTTTTTGAGTATACTACTGCTAGACATGTTTATTGTGGCACAAAGTCAAAGTTAAAGCGATATATAATAAATTATATAAAGTTATTGAAGCAATGCATTTTTATTTAGAGCTTGGAACAGATTGCACAAAAACAGCAGATTGTAATGGTGTTAATGTCATCTGTGATAATGGTAAATGTAAATGTAACACAACCGTAAACTATGATGATTATCGTTTTATGGAAGGACCTTGTCTTGCTGGTAAGTTTACAAACAAAATGTTTAAAAAGTATTCTTTTCATAGATATGAACAAAATAGACAATTTTTTTTCAACTAGTTTGAGTATGGTTTTTACTCTTACCAGTTTATAAATTTCATGACTTACAATCCCTTATATCAATAATAATAACCTTTATGTACAGGTAAATTTCTGTTAACGTCAAGTTTCAAACAAGTTGAAATGATTGCATTGTTATATACTTTAACAAATGTTTAGGGTGTCTAAACATAGTCTCAGATATTTATACATTTATCTGTTATTAAATTAATTTATCTTTAATTTATAATTAAGAAGGAGCCACGTTACACAGATAAAGAGGAACATGTCCAAGTTATTTTTAATGAAAGGATTTTAAGATATATAAATTTGACTACAGCATAAAAAACACTAAATTTGAGATAAAAAAAATCTTTAATAATGTAATATGAAAATATTGTTAGAGCCAGGAATTGACTGTAAATATGCAGATGACTGTATAGATAGACATACCATCTGTGAACATGGTAAATGCAAGTGCAACACGACCACACACTTTGATTATCCTGGTGTAAGAGAGGGGGAGTATTGTGAAGCTAGTAAGTTAAGAAGCTTAAATACATTATTCATGTTTCATAATTTAGGCTTGTTATATTTTAGGATGGAAACATTTCTCTCTTTTGTATATTGACTAAAAAGTAGAATAAAGGCACATATTTCAACAAAGGTAAACATTGTTTGGCATATGCTGAAATCTTACCTTTTTTAAACTTCTGATATTGAGCAAATCTGAGAAGCGTGTTTTATGTTCTAGTAATACCCTAATTCAAGTTGAAAGGGTATTTGAAAAATAATATAAACGACTGTAAAAGGTCATGCTTTAAGAGTAAGAAAATAGAATTTAACAGAAAGTAGTATACTGTTAAAACTAAAACGAGTGACTGACCGAAAAAAAAAATCAATTTTAACTTAATGGTTACTCGATGACAAAGCAAATGCATTTCATAAAATTGATCGGACTGTGTTCATAAAGTAATCATTAAGACTTGTTGATAGTATCGCATTGTCATATCTCAGATTTAAATATATATGAAAGGAAGGAAAACTCAACATCATTAGATAGACTGAGTGTTATTACCGGACCAGTTATCATGGTTATGTTAATATGAAAACCCATCTAATGATGACAAACAGTTGTTTGTACGTGTGTGATACGAGCTAAACGTAACAGGGAAAATAACGCAGCAACAAATTTTATTTACAATAAATTAAATACAGAAAAATATGAAAGTAAAGTTTAACTCACAATTATCCACGATTCAAATTTATCAAATGTCCTTAAGTTTAAGTCACAGTTTGAAATTCAATTGTCCACAACTCAAATTCAATCAATGTCCAATGTCCACAGCATAATCTCAAAATATGTTCAAAACACTTTCCACACATAATAACAGAATCAAAAAAAAAATATTTGTATGTTAGCTTCACGATATCATAAGTAAAATAGCTCACAACCAGTATATCAACATCACACAGTATTACAAATTAGCACACACACAAGTACAAACATTCATCATATAAATACTATCAATGAACAGTCTAGAATACTGAACTGCTTAGAAAAAGATGTTCCAGAATGAACATAAACAGAACTTTCTTGAAAAAAGGTGAAAAATTATATACACATTAAATGAACAAAATTATTACAAAACGATAGTGGCAAGAATTGGTATCGAACCCACGACATCGATATTATCAGTGCTGCGCTCTACCTTCTGAGCTATTCAATAAATAAACACTAAAAGCAGTTAAAATAAAGCCTAAATATATAACATTTGCTTTTTTGTAAAAAAGCAATGTACGTCCAGCTAGGTCTTTCTTTACTTTTTAATAATAATATTTGCTGTAAGAATATGTGATTTGAAAAAATGTAACAGTGTAGTATATTTCCATTTTGCAAGAAACACATTATCATAAATATTAAACATATTTCTTTGATTTTAAGAAAGTGCTTTAGGAGACGACTGCAATTCCCAATGCCTCGATAACAATGCTGTTTGTAGATTTGACGAACACCGAAAAAAGTGCCAATGCAACGATGGCTTTTATAGTTTTGAAGGAAGTTGTGTCAAAGGTAAAATCAGTTTATTAATTTGTTGTCAAAAGGATGTTGACAATTAGGACTTTTAATGCTAAACTGAACTTCACAAATTTCAACATATCGAAGAAAATGTTTTGTATAACAAATGTCTGTTTTTATAATTTCGCAAAGTCAAGATAGCATACAAGTCCTATTGTGTTTCGTGTTTTCCGTGATGGCATTGGTATTGTTATACTGATATTTTTCTTTCCAATTTCAATCAACCGTTTTCGTTTTTCCCTATTTCGTACATTAACAAATCATATTGTAAATAAGTATGTTAAATACAGTAAACCGAAACTATGCACACTTATATCAGTTTCTTCCAACACAATTTTGAAGCATTCAAAAATGTGTTATAAGTAAAAGAAGTGTGTAATGCTTCTTGTAATTATAATTTTTGATATTATCAAATCTTCATTTGTTCATCGGGTTTATCATATAGACTATATTGTGTTTGAGGTACATGGATTTAAACGGGAGCGTCAATGTGGTAGGTAGTTGATAGTTGGATATTTGGATATTCGATTAACCAAGTACCTGCTAGCTGGTACATGTAGTTGGTAATTCGTAAAAGCCAACTACTAGTATGTGCAGCTGTGTTTGAAAATTATTTTACATCTAGTGTGAGGTTACCAGATAATGCATCAATTTTTACTGCCGAAGCCAAAGCTTTAGATTTAGCATTGTCTTACATATCATATCATATCATGATAAGGAAACTTCTTTTACGATTTCATGATATACTTAAAACAAGATCTGTTAAATTATATTGGATACCAAGTTATGTAGGTATACGAGGAAATAAAAAGGTAGATGCTTTAGCTGAACAATCATTTAATTTAAATATATATAAATACACTCGTATCATCTGAATGGAAAGCAAATTGGGACAATGCCGTTTTTAATAAACTTCACGATATCCACCCATCTCTTGATGTGTCACCATCTCTATCTCTGTCAAACCGCCATGATCAAACAGTTCTTATTCGATGCCGAATTGGACACACAAACATTATTCACTCTTATATCCGCCCCTTTCTGTGTAGCTTGTAATAAAAAAAAATACTGTCAAGCATTTTCTTCTTGAATGTCATGTTTTTTCACAGGCCCGTAATAGATTTTATTGTGTTAATTCACTCAAAGAACTCTTTAATACAATTCCATCAAAAAACATCATTGATTATTTGAATGAGATTAACTTGTATTCTAGGATCTTATTGGCTCATTTTTATTGTCATTTACAAAGTTTTACATAACATTTTAAGACATTTATAGCATTCCGCACGATATGGTCAGTTATGTGTTGACGTGCCGTAAAAATCAAAACAAACAAACAAAAACCTCAACATGACTCGTACTTGTCACAGAAAAAAAACGTGTTAAAACGACGATGTACGTGTATTTATTCTATGACCTAACGTGCTCGTATATATATTATGGTTAATCATAAATTCAAGTTCCATACAAAATTGTGTTTCTATTAAAAAAGGCCTATTTAACTCGAATTTTGGAGCACCGTACAGCACTGAATTCAAACACCGCATTCCTTTTTCCGTTGGACCGGTTAATACTGGAACCCTTTTCTTTTGCACCATAATTTATAGATAACTGTTTATTTACCTGTTGTTATGTTATGTTGCTGTTATCATATGTCATTTTTATGGAAAACATATCTCAAGGTCTGATCTATGTAAATTATACCAGTTAGATAATTGCAAAGGTATCTATATAGATAAGTAAGTACTTTTTCGATCTTATACAAACGGATAAACATGGAAAGATCATTCTTCGATGAGGTTACCAGGCATTTTGTTGTGTAAAAAGATTCTTTCAATAATCATTTCCCAACTGATTCAGATGATTCCGCCGTGCATGTTGCCAAAATATTTTGTCGGTTTAATCGGTTGACATTAAATCGCTTGAATGTAATTGTTGATGCAAA